TATTGATTTTAAGAGATACCTTTGCATTGATTATAATATACATGACCTCTTGCAAAGATATGAACTTACTTATCTCCTTCGAAGTGCTTGCATTTTTATCATTTACTGAACATCTTTTGTGTTATGACATTTGAAAGCTTTTATAATGTCCTAAAAATCGAATACTAGAAGTTGTATTTTCAGGAAAAGATACTAATGTTTGTCAGAGAGAGATTCCAGAAAAATAGTCATTAGCTATTTTTTCATTTTTCAGTTTGCTGTCCCATTTTAAAAGACAATCAGTAAAATTACTATTTGTCATCTATAAATTCTTTTTGGTATGGGAAGTTTTAAATAAATTCTTGGTTATTTTCAAATATTGAAATTTTCTGCTTTTATCAATGACTACTGCTGTCTTCTTAATCTTGGGGTCCATATTGCATGTTAATAAAGTATAAACTTATATGTTCAGTTTTTTAAATGAACTGCTGTTTCATTTTTAGACATGTATATTCTGGAAATGTTCTGTTACATAGTCCATTTTTATCTGTATTATCAATTTGAATGGCTTGTATTCATTTAGCAGCCCAAGAAAATGTCTTTTATCCAGTTCTCAGCTACATGATGATCTGCTGTTTGCTTCTCATCATGTAATTTATGATGAATAACATTGGACTTCTCTTTCTCTAACTTGTGAGTGATACATTAATTGGTAAAAAATTCTCTCCTAGCATTTAGCAAATAAGTGAAAATCTGTAGAAACAGAAAAATTTTTTAGCTTTATAACATGAAAGCATTCTAGAAAACAATTTTAACGTCTGTCAAATTTCTGTCTCTTTTGCATGTTCTTAAGATATTTGCATGTTTTCTCAGTTCTTCATTAATTTTAATTCCTTGTTAAGTAAACTGCACAATGCTGTCTGGGAAATTCCCAGGTTAAATGTAATTTTCTTCTGGCAGCGAACATTAAAATATTTTAACAATTTATCCTTTTTTTTTTTTTTTTTCTTTTCCAGCTTTAAGTCTTTTTCTCTTGGCATTCGGACAAGTTACAAGTTAAGTGCACAATAAATTTTTAAAAGAATGCTACTTCCAATAATTTATTCAAATTATAAAATTTATGTTTCTTGCCAGCAGAAAGATTGTCCTTTGTCTGTGTAGTCGATCTGCACTTCATGATTACAAGCGTGACCAGTGCTTCTATTACTTTTCCGTCAGTCCACAATTAAAAATCTTTTTTATTCAAAGACTTTTAATGTGTAGTAATGCTTGGAAGTATTTCATGAATATTTTTAAAACTCTTTGTGATCTGAATCAATAACAACTTCCCCCTCCCCACACCTTTTTTTTAAGAATTTTTTTTTGTTTCTTTTACAAATGTACATTTTATGTTTTTTAATAATTAAACATGTGTAGAGTTCTGACTCTGAATTTCATTTCGGCACCTAAATAAAATACTTCCATATTAAAAAAATAATCATTTATTAGCATCAATCTGAATAATTAAGAATTTGGCTATTTAGCCACATTTTGCTTGGCATACATTGTAAAGTCATTAGGACTTTTTGAAGCAGAAGACATGAAAAATGAGCAATGCCCTTGCTGGGACTTGAACCACGGACCTCTCGAATGCGCGCTTAGTGTGCTGGCCATTACACCACAAAGGTATGCTAAGAAGCTAGGAGAAATACCTTATAATATCTCAAACTGAAACATTCTGCATTGAAACATCATTGATTTTACACCTACTGAGTAATTTATATACCTGAAGCCAACTTGGCAATTAATTATATTTTAATCTTTTCTTTCTTTACCGCATGATTATCAGTACATGGCAGCTTGAGAAATCACTCACGTAATGATGTCTAAACAATTTTTTTTAATGTAAGTAACTGAATACCAAATAAATAACATAGTAATGTTTTATATTGTCATTAAGCTTGGTGATGACTGCAGACTTCAGCTAACTGCTGTGCGAAGCATCTGTGTGGTCACAGGGAGAAATTTAGCAAAAAAAATATATATATGTTAAAAAAAAAGAGAGAGAGATTTTGTAAATGATACTCATAGGACAAAAGATTACATTTAGTGCCATTTGAATTGAGAATAACTGATGACAGGTGGCAGAATTTAGGAGAGGCAAAATTTTTAGCATTTAGAGAAATGCCATGCAACAAAATTAAATTATGGCAAAATGTTTAGAATTTAGAGAAGGTACTAAGCTGGAATATGTAGGAGTGGGAAAATATTTAGAATTTAGGGTGGTGTTTGGCAGCAGAATTTAGGGCCTACAGAGATGGCACCAGGCCACAATATGTCTGATGCCATCCTTGGATAAGTTTAAAGTATATGTTGGAATTTATTTATTCAGGACTCAGTTAAGCCTCAAAGATGCACGGAAAGAAGACATAAGTATAATAACTAATTAAACTAATATAATTTAACTTCGTCAGCATGCAATAGAAACAAGGCAGTAGAAGGAAGACTCTGTCTGTCTGTGTGTCTTTTGTTTGGGCTGCGCGTAAGCTAATAGACCCAGGGCTACGAAATTTGGCACATAGTTGCATCTAGACAAAAGCCAGTGCACCTCCTAGGAAAGTTTTCAAAATTCGAATGAGATTTTTTAAATTTTATGTTTTTTGATGAAATTGCATCACAATTCTCTCTCATTATATCAGCAACAATGGCATACAGCCATTGTTGCTGATACAGCAACAATGGCGCAACAGTCCTGCCACTCCAAAAAATGAGGGGGATAATTCTGTACAGTTTTTAAATTTAATGTTTCTCTTGGATACTGGATGTTTGTCGAAAAAAGGCAAGGAGAAGTTGGTTAATTTATTCATTAGGATAATTAACATTTGTGTTAAAGGATATTGCTTATTTCATTGTAATTTTCTATATGTAATACATTTGTATTGAATTATATATATATACAGTCAAAAGTCTTTAATCCTGACTCGTCGGACTTCGGCGATTCCAGATTATCGGTTTTTCCGGATTATAGATCATCAGTTTAAATCTGGTAAGATGGCATGCAGAATTATAAAATTAAAAATATGGAACCGTAATTTATGAAATAAAGAGCAATTATTGATCTAAAGGGTATCAAAATTTACAAAAAAAACCTTAATATTTATTTGTTTACTTTATTAAATATTTCTTTCAATGTGCGCATGCGTAAAGCATACATTAAGCATAGTCGAAATTAGAAAATTGCAATCAGAAAAGTATTTGATGTGTATTCGTGATATTTATAATGACGAGGAATTTGATTTAAATCATATCAAAGACGGAGTACGTCGAGATGAAATACTACATTTAGTAAAAAATTATAAGCCGAATAAAATAAAAACATCTGCCCTGAAGATAAGGATAGTGCTGGCAGATCGACTTCCAGTTCATTGTGCTCCGCGATTCCCCCCCCCCTCCGCAGAGCAGCGTGAAATTGATAAACATATTTCAGAACAAAGGATATGCCTTTATCCATTTTTTGCAGCAAATCCACTTTTTGTTTGATGGACATCGAAACATGCTTTCGCTTTGTAGATCCTTTGGCAGCTCCAGAATCGGAAATTCTTTTTGACATAATCGAAAGTTCAAGCTTACTTTTATAAAATTGCTCTAACAGTCTGCAAAAAATAATAAGCCGGATCCAATTCGAAGATTAAGGAACAACGCAATCTGACACATTAACTGAAATAGATAATTAGATAATTTTAGCTTAGCTTATACTGTCCGTTATACATTAAGCGCGCATGCGCAGAATGTTTGTAGCTTTGAGATCGGGATTATAGATCATTCCGGATTATGGACATCCGGAATGTTTGGTGTTCCCTTCAGGTATTTTTCCGGTGCATTTAAAAGCCAGATGAAGGCTGGCGTAGTGGCTAGTATTTAATAAAACAAACAAACAAATTTTGAGTTCCCTTTCCGTCTCTCTCTCTCTCTTTTTTATTATTATTATTATTATTATTATTATTATATTATTTTTTATATATATATATATTTTCTTAAGATCATAAAGTATTTATTATTTCATAAACTGCTGTTTCATATTTTTAATTTTATAATTTGTACAAGTCATTTTACTAGATTTAAACTGATGATCTAATATCAGAAAAATCGGAATCGCCATTGTCCCGACTTGTCTGGATCTCAGACTCCTATTTAATCTGTCTAAAGCGGAGGATTTTGATGGTAGAAAGCTTAAAATGGGATACAAAAGTTGCATTTTCACTTCCTATCAGACCTTACTCATTTACAATACCTCTAGAGACTTGCTTTTATTTACCTTAAGATAAGGAAATTCTTCCACAATGAAGCAAATGCGAACAAAGAATGTTGGAAATAGTGTTTCATAAGTACAGAGAAGGTGAAAAAGTATCAGTCAAATGATAAAGCTGCAATCCAAAATGTGTTAAATGAATGAACTAAAAGCTTTGGCAGATATAAGTAAGATATACTGGCACTGAAGAATCAGTCATTTGCCAAGCTGATTATAATAAGTAGCACAGATAAGTTTAGTAAACGGCAGATTTTCTTTGATCCATATGTATTTATTTTGGTTTTGGGAAATTTGAAAGTAATAAGTGACCGAGTTTATTAACCAGTGTATTTAATAAACGGTAAGAAATTTCAATTGAGTATTTTTTTTTTAATTTTTAAATAAATTCCCATCTTCCCCCAAAAATGAAAGCTTTAAACCTGTTATAATTTCAGAATGTAGATCAAGGTAAATCAAAACATCACCAGAGAGCATAAATGCTGCATTTCTTTGGGAAGGAGTGCACATTTATAAGCAGAATAAATTCTGAGTCATAATATTTTTAAATTAGAATTAGCTTGCAACATATCTGTTTTGTCATATGGCTGTTTAAAAAATTTTTCACATCATTAAGCTGCATATCAATCTATGAATTACAAATACAACACAAACTTTCACTAATACTAATTTTCATCTTACAGTCTGTTTAATGATAGATTTCTAATGGTGCATTTCAAGTAAATTATTAACTCACAGGATTGCCATTGCCACTAGCTGGTGTGCGAAGAGATGAATCAGAGTCCCATCTCTGAAGTTCTTCTCTTACCATTTTTTCCATGTGATGTCTTTTGGCCTTTTCATCCAGATCATCACTCTAGAAGTAAGATACATCATAAATATATTGTAATATGTTAGGGGAAAATCATAATTTGTATCTTGTTTTGGAAGAGACACATGGCTTAAATGATATTTAAAAAAAAAAAAAAAAAAAAAAAAAAAAAAAAATGTGAAAGCTTTCATCAGATTTTTATCAGATTATGCCTTCTCTTTCTTATCAGATTTTTAGCTTTCAGATTACGCCTAAAGGGGCATTTTCTTGTTTTAACAATAAACGTTTTGTAGGTTACCTTTATTTAATAAATATCATGTTCTTTGCACTTAAACCATAAAGTTGAATTCAACAGTAATATCGCAAAATAATTTTAAAAGAACATATCTTTAGAATTTCGGAAATATTATTGAAGTTAATTGGAGAAAAAGCTTCAAATGTTCTTGTTTATATAAAGGAGGAAGATCTGCAAAATTATGAAAAAGTGAAAACTCTTGTTCTGAAGGAATACCAACCTACTCCTCAAACCTGTTTAGAAAACTTCAGACGAACTAAACGTTATTCCGGCGAAACGCATATCCAGTTCGCTTCAAGACTAACAGCTACATGGGACTATTACTGCAAGTCAAGAGAAGTAAAGGATTTCGAAATACTCAAGGAGTTAATTATTTCGGATAAATTATTCCAAGCTTTAGATGAAGAAACAGCTGCACAAGTCGCAATACGGCAAGGAAATAAATGGCTGAAGCCTCAAGAATTAGCTACAGAATGTGATATTTATTTCACGGCCAAAGGAAAATCTTTCGACGAAGTTCGAAATGAAATTAAGCGATCACCGAGATTCCTGGATACAACATGTACACAAGGTAAATATATTCCGCCACTCATCAGAAAAGAATATTCAAAACAAGAAGGATCTCACGTAAGAAGAAAAGAATGTTATATTTGTGGAAATCAACATATATAACATATACATAATCCTCTAGATCAGCGGTTCTCAACCCTTTGACTGATGCGTACCATTTAAACAAAAATTGAAAGCATTTAGTATCAGCATTACAAAGTAGTACTACCAGCACCACTCTTGAACAAAGCTCAGATCGCATAAATTTACGAGTGTTAGAGAAAAAAACTCAATCAGGATGTTGGGGTTTTAATTTTTGAATTTAATAGTTAAAAATACTTGTTTCTTTGCGTACCACCAATGATACGCGTACCATCGGTTGAGAACTCCTGCTCTAGATGTTGGGTTTGCTACACCTGTCCATCTAGACGTCGCTATTTTGCCTGCAACTAGTTTAAGTAAAACCTTGAATTGATCTCTGATTTTATGTTCTAAATGTTCTGTGGCATCACTCGAGGAAGAATTATTTGTATATGTCGCTGACTGTTCGTGAGCCTCTACTTTCTAGCTCAGTGGATCTCATAGCTGCCATCGTACCTTGTATCTGTATTTCGTACGGGCTGTGTACGGATAATGCAATATAAAAATCAAAAACCTAACTATAGAGACCAACACAGGCTTCGTTAGGGAAGTGAAAAGTATGTTGGTTGCCCGCCGTGACCTATACCTGGGGTTCTCCCCGATCAACACTACGAGGCTGAGGCTGAGGAGTAAATTAATGGGTTGCTCATCTAGCCGGAATACAGGAAGTCGGTGTTGTAAAAAAATCTTTCTGGCCAAGCCCATGCCAGCCAGACTTTGGGGTAGACCTCCGGTGAGATGGATTGATGATTGTGTTGAAAATGACCTAATTTACTAAATGTTTAAAAAAAAAAAAAAAAAAAAAAACTGGAAGACCGTTACCAAAAGCAGAGATGTCAGAAGAAGGCCAGGGCCCACCCTGTGCTCTCGAGGCAATGAAGAAGAAGAAGAAAAGTGTAAGAAAATTACAAAATGATATTAGCCAAAGACTATAAAATATAAAATATGCAATTAAATGCTAATATATTTCACTTCTGAATTTGGGTTATAAATAGTGCAATAACTCGAACATGCATTATAAAGTGAATTAAAGTTTGTTTGGAGCTGCTTTGAAATCATATCACTGCGCAGCATGAACCTCCTGATTTTTAAGATTTCAAGATCTATTATGTACTTCAAAAGAGTTATCAATTTCAATAATATTCTTTTTACTTAAACAAAATATTTTTCTAGTGTGACCATAAATCTGGTTTCTTAATCATATATCGAAAAAAACTAAGGAGAAAAATATGCAAGTCAATACGGTATTCCTTTCATTAATAATCTGAACTTTTTTTCTTTCAAAATGCAAAGAATATTTGCAGAATCTTATTAGACTATGTGGTGAGCTACTGTGCAGAGACCTACCATCAGGTATGCAGTAGAATTTATGTGCAGTGGTAGCTCGAACTGGTTCGATTTCAGGCAAATAGGCTGGCTGCATGGGAGTTTCCATGGTTTTTCCCAGGTGTAATAGGACTGCGATCACTTTCGCGTAAAAAGCCTTACATGAAGGCAACCCTTTCCTTGAGCAACAGCCCTCATATCCTTTGGCATAATGAAATAAAACAAACCTTTATAACTACAGTTTTTATGCTTAGTAACTGATTTATTCTTTTGAAGTCTGTATTATTAAGTTTAAAAAAGGCTAAAATAGTCTTTGTAAAGCTGCCAACTCTCCCCATTTTTCAGCTCATCTCCTGGTTTTTAATTTTTAGCCTTTGCTAAGGAAAACTTCTAGCGAAAATGTTTCCCAGCAATAAATGCAATTTATTAAATTAATTAAATGTAAACTGTTCTAATTCCTTTCCCCACTCGTAATAATTTTCAGCATATTTTTTCTTATTAAACTTTATTTGATATGAATAGTCTTAATCTGCTGTAGATTATGAAGACTTAATTAATGTTTATTTAGTTAGTATTCATATATAGTTTTGGTTTGCATCAGTATATTGTACATTACTAAGTTTATCCACATAAAAGTACGCATATTAATAATTGATTTTATTTCCTTCGTATTTAAAAGTACTTTATAAATAAAAGCTTTCCTTTCCTACTGAGGATTATCATAGCATCTGAGAAAATGAGATAGCCGAAGAACATAAAATTTAGAATATCGAAGTAAATAGTAAAGAATTTTACACCATAATCATTTTATAAATAGTTCAGTAACGTAATTCATGCATTATAAAGTGAATTTAAGTCAATTTGAAATTGTTTTGAAGTGATGTCCCCGAGAAGCGCCATAACCTCCTGGTTTTTTATAGTCAAAGGATATTGACAGCTATGTCTTTAGCATTCATGAGCATTAATTTTTTTTTTTTTAAATCTGGAACCATGTTCATTTAAGAAAAAGTGAAATTATATGGAGACCTCCAAGGTACTGTAGCGTAATATGAATATATTATAGTTAAGTACTATAATACAAATAATTTACACTATATATAAATAACTTAAAAATTGCTTACTTGCAGTTTTTCATTAAGGTACGCTAAAAAAAGGGGGGGACAGTTCTATATCTCCCATTCTACTGGGCCTAATGACGAAATTCAACTTGCGTTTTTCATGTCTCGAATGCGCGACTTAGGATATGCATTAGATTTATGTATATATATATATATGTATAGCATTTCTTTCTAATATAGGTATTTTGACACAAAATCGGAGATGGCAATTTTTTCCCCATATTTCGATTTTAAGATTCAAATTATGTCAAACTGTCAAGTTTTGTAAAAATCGCACGAGCAGTAGCTCTCAAAATTTTAGCTCCTTAGTGTTAATTAAATATGATATGTATTTATTAATATCTCTTTTTTTAATTAAACTTACTTGATTCCTTCTTCCAGAATTCAAAATTTAGGTTCATTCCAAGTAAAATTCTCCCATTTTAATGATTTATTTTAAAAATTTGTATTTTTAAATAATTTTTATAAATTTTTCGAAAAACATTTCGAATTATAACCTATAAAAGTTTTACCATCATCTTGAAGTAAATGTTTTTCAAGTATATCTGCAAAAAATTACAATTTTTATTCAAAATTTCCTAGGATATAGGTGAATTTACATATTGGCGAGTTTTGAAATTTGACATATTTGTTATAAGCGGTAATAAGTCAAATGTAGTTTACGCACTTTGTTAAAATTATTTGAAAGAATGAACAATGATTTTTTTCCTCTCGTTTACAATGGAAAAAAAAAAAAAAAAAAAGGAAAGAAAAATATATTGCTATAAATTAAGAAGTTTGCCAACTGAATTATTCTTGGCGCTTCATATTTACGCATAATTGAGTAGTAGAGTCGAAATATGAAACAAAAATTGGTATGCCATTTCAGAAAAAGTCCTATTTCGCGTCAAAATACGTATCTTAGACAATGCTATATATAAATATATGTACCTTAAGTCGCGCTTTCGAGACATGAGAAACGCAATTTGAATTTCGTCAATAGGCCCAGTAGAACGGGAGATATAGAACTGTCCTTTTTTTTTCGCAGTGTACATCTCAATTTTTCATCCACATTTAATAGATTAAAAAACCGAAATCTGATTATTTTAATGTTTTGGTCCTTAAAACTGTCGAAAATGCGATTTCTTTCAGCATTAAATGTTGGATTGCATTCAGCTAACTAATTAAACTATCGTAAATTACGTAAAATCAAGATCGCTTCAAGATTTTACACACTATATGTTGCTATGGTTGTTATTCTAACTGAATTTGTATTTGAGAGGTATACAAAATAATTGTTTAAGACATTTTGAAGTTCTCTCTCTCTTTCTCTCGTTTTTTAATACTTCAAAGATGGTACTGTTTGCACTACATGAATATCTTGCCCTGGCAAAATACGAATTATTGCCATTTTACTTACAAAAAGTTTTATAAGCTTTCTCCATAAGCAGTTCAACGCAGAAACGTGCACAACTACTTGAATAATTAAGACCTTTCTTTGTTAAATATGTGCAGAGTCTTTCCCTGGCATTAATTTATGATATAACACTATAATACGTTTCCCTTTCGTCCTATGGTTTGCACTGCTATTTTGTACAGCTCATTTTGATATGATTTTTATCTTGAGTAGAATAAATTCTTAACATATTAAACGTCGCGTCAGTCCCTAGTAGGGACCAGTCCTAGACCACGCAAAATAGGCTTGATGTTTAATATGTTAAACTAGTAGTTTTATCTCTACCGTTTCAAATGTTAAACTGGAATCTGAATACAAGAATCGGATTTCAGTTTTTTATTCTTAAGAGGGGGGAATGTTAAACTCACCTCTGATATGGTGTTAAGTATTTTATTCATGTTCTCCCTTCTCTTCACTTTTGCTCTGTCCATAGCTGCCATCTTGTTGAGCACTGCATCAATTTTTGAGACTATATTTCCTATTGAATTCTCCATCTTATCAACTCGTTCTGACAAACTGGGGAAAAAAAAAAAAAAAAAAAAAAAAAAAAAATTGAAGAAAACTAAATATTTTAAAAGTGTTTTCCATAGCTTCACAATATATATATATAAAATTTAACATTTCACCAACATTAAAATAATAGTTGGACAACGACTTAATTAGTAAATTCGCTGACTGAATTTTCATTTGGTACGCTTATAAGTATTTTATACTGGCAAGCTTCATATTACATGACTTGTAACGAGTAACATAACTATAAGGGCAGAACCTTTTTAAATTCATCTCTAAAATGTAAATTTTTTTCATTCTTATTTTAACGACAATACAAAGCATATTGCATAATAATATTGTATAATCAACAAGTTTTGCAGTTTTATATATGCAAAATATCTATCGTGTAAAAATTAAATTTTTTTCCATACATGGCCTTCTAACTTAGCAATAATTCTGCAAGTTACCGATCTTAATGTCAAAAATCCGATACCAGTGGAAAGTTTTTCTGTTTTCCTCTTAATCGTATTACACTGCACCAGACATCAAACTCGTGGCCTGCATGCGGCTTTTTGACTCATTTTCCTGCTGCCTTCCATTCACTCCGTGAAAATGGCAAAAAATATATTGTTATACAAGTATATATATTAATAAAAACTGGAATTCCACCGAATATTGAGGCGTATTTACGACCTCGTGTGCTAAAAGCGACTCCAATACTTCAACTGCTAAAATGACGAGGGAATTTCTTTACAAAAATACTTCTTAGCAGACGCTGAGATCATGCCAGCCTATTAATAGAATGAATTAATAGAAATTCAGCATGGCTCATCTCATATATCATTGTGAACAGTTTTTTTGAGTTATGAAAAGGAGCAAATTCCCAGCGAGATCCATGTTAACAGACATTCAACTGACATCTGTTCTGAAAATTGCTAATGCCACTAGCATGTCTTAAGATATCCGAAAGCAAGTTATAGGAGAAAGATACGATATTTTGGGAAGAAAAAATAGGTATCCATCTGCTATCCAAATCTCCTTTCCGTTTGCATTTTTTAAGAACATTATTAACATTAGGTAACATTGTATTAAGTAACATTTTATGTATATACTTGCTCTCGTTCACTTCTTAATTAAGTATGAAAATGACTTTTTTTCCCCCTCTGCCTGCACTATTTTACACTGATGATTATTTGTCCTACTTGAGATACTTCTAACATGATTTGAGCATGTCTACTTTACACTCTAAGTGCACTCTAAGTATGCATCAGAACTAAAAGCAATTATTTGTGGTTATGCATGTCCGCATGTCCAGCTTGTCACCTGGGGGAATAATGAAATGATTTGTTAGTGCCCGTCTCTGAACTGTTAGTCTATACTCATATATATAAAGAAGAAAGTCTGTGTGTGTGTGTGTGTGTGTGTGTGTTTGTTCGCTAATAATTCAGTCACTACTATAGCTATCGTCACCAAACTTTCTACAATCCTTTTTAGAGTCCCGGAAAAAGTCGACTTTCACTCAAAAAAAAAAAAAAAAAAAAAAACCCACTGAAATGAGATATTAATTAAACATTTAAAATGTTAATTTTCGCCCTTATTTTTCCGAGTGGCAACAGTCTTGCTCGCTAGAGATAAAAACCTGCTTTATATCGAGAAGTGTTGGCACTGTTGGCTTTCAAATCGTAGAGTTTGTTACTAAAAAATTTCTAAGTTTTACATTGAAATAAAAATAGCATTGCCAAACATTAAATACACTAGTCCCGATTCCAAAAATTCGTGGGAAGCTATTTCGACTATTCTCATCTTCGTACGATTTTAATCAGCCGAGATATTAATTAAAAACTCTGAAAACGCTAATTTTCGTACTCATTTTTCCGAGTGGCAACAGTCTCCCGCGTTGGAGATAAAAATGCTTTATTTCGAAAAGTGTTGCTTATGCTCACTTTCAAATCGTAGAGTTTGTTATTAAAAAATTTGTAGGTTTTACAAAATCTAAAGAAGAATACATGTTTGTTTGTTCGCTTTATCGATTTCTGATCAATTATGATCACATTTTTGCCACATTTAATCGACTAAAATTGAATATAGGTGAAATATTGAGTGGAACGTGAGCTTTTACGACGAATTAATTAGAAAGACGAAAATCATTAAAAACTGCGTGCCATTGTTGCTGGTATAATGAGAGAGAATTAGTTTATTTTTCTATCGAAATATTTTTTCCATAGCGCATCAGACTGAAAAATGTATGACTATGAATCGTATTTTTTTCATCGTTATATTAGAGAAGGATTACAGTGGTATGATTCTCTATGTTGTTAGATACATTACTATCAATCTAACTTAACTGGCATTGGGTACTTCCGCTATATAAACAAAGGAAAATGTTTAACAGAAGAACTATGTGCACAATTTAGAGATAATATATAACATATCGCAGACTTATATATATATATATATATATATATATTATTCAGGAGCAGGAGGAGGAATTTGGATGGCGTAGACGTGTTGATCCATAATGACTAGGAAATTGGAGACAAATGCAGATTTAAAACTTCAGTTTTATTTTCAGCAACATGTTGCAGCTATACACAAGTCGGCACATTAAGTGTGCCTTTTCCAAAAGGCTTACATTTTTGATAATTTTGTAGCAAGAAAGTAGAGCAGACATACAGCAGTGTAGCTAGGCCAAAGCGTGGAAAGCAACTGCGTAATGTTCAGGATGAAATCTTAAGTCAGACTGAGTTAGTTTTGGTTCTCAAAGCATTTTGATTGGATAGTTAATATTGCTCTAAAATTACTATTCGCTGGTTGAGTTTAAGTTCCATTTACATCATCATAATTGCGTAAGAGTCATATGACCATGGACCTTATAAGTAATAGACTAACCCAGAAACCAGGCTAACCAGGGCGGGGCGCGCGTCACCGACATGTCCGCAAGAAAGAGTAGTTGACGATCGGGTTTACTTTAACACTGAAACCTATGGCGTTTGTATCACATAACTGTTTTTAATTATTAAATGTCTAAAAAATTATTGTTTTTAATTATTAAATCATCACTATACAGATAATGAAAGTCATGGTTTTTTTTTTTCAAATAGGATTTAATATATCTCATTAGAGCAGTTTTTACTGCATTTCACGCATTTTTTTTCACGCATAATACAGGGCGATAATATTTGGTAACAACAATTTGCAAGGAGACACGGACGTTTATAGTGAAACAGGGCAAAATGCCGCTTCGAGCTAATAAATTAAATTAACAGTAAATAAAAAAACCTTATGCAGAACTAAAAGTAAATTTATAAAATACAAGCAAAATTAATTATTACAGTTAAATACAATTTTAATATTAGAATTAAATGCATAAAAATTAAGGAGTCAAAAGTGTTTATCACTATGATGTATTATGAAATATAATTGAAATAAAATTCCTTTATAGAAATTGTGCTATAATACTCATCTATAATTTTAAAAAAGCCGCACAATTTAGAATTTTAAACAAAACTTTCAGAAATTCGTTTTTAAATATTTTAGTATTTTTTAACTTATTTACAGCATAAAAAGCATAAAAATTGCAAGAGAAATTACTGTTTGAAATTTCTATTAGTTCAATTTAAAAATATTATTTTCTAAAGAAGTAGTTACAAATTTCCTTACAGCATAGGAAAAGCTAAAGAAATATCCAACCCTGAAAGCATGCAATAGCTTTATAATTATTTGGAACGTTAATTATGCTTGATAAATATGCTAAATTTTTAAAAATCAATCTCAATTTCAAAAATAAAAATATGTAGAAATTCTAATTTGTGAAAACCCCATAAATCATAAAATTTTGATCCTGTAAAGTATAATTTATAAATATCAATTTTTTAAAATAAAGTTTTAATTTTTAGTATCTTCCTGAATTTTCAGCATTTCAGTCCAAAAGACTTTTTGTTTGAGAGTTCACATAATCATAATTCTTCAGCGAAGGTTCTTGTTATCACAGAATATCAGAAAATAAACTTTTACATAATCATTACTTATAAATTAAATGCAATGCACATAAATATTTATGATACTAATTTCCATATTGATATAATCTATCACCATAAATAATAGGAGAAACATTTTCAGAAATTATGGTTTCACCGTTATTATCTCTCATTTACAATTCCTGATTTTACAAAACTGGAAGGCCTAGCAATACTTCTAAACAAACATATCCATCAGTAGGGCTGTCCTCTTGAGCTAACCAGTGTGTTCTTTGCACTGGTGGCCCAGGGTGCCTAGGCAGTTACTTGAAAGAAACCTCCTTCCTTGCATAAGTCAATTGGCCTTTGAGAACTGCATTAATATATTCCACAATAAAAAAAGTATAATAATATAAAAAAGAATTACATACACTCATAAAATGATAGCCTCCAACATTATCTTACATGAAGAGGATAAAAGGAATAACTGTACAGAGGTAATTACAGGCCTCTGTTTTAGGAACCAGTACTCCCTGAACATACTCTATACTTAACACACAATCATCCATAAACTTTAATATGCATTTACCATAATTTCATATTACTTATCTGTAATAATTCACTTATTTTTTATATACACTTCATTTTAGAATAATTATAAATTCGTATTCAAAATTTTCAACAAAATTTCAAAATATAAAAACTTATCTTAACAGCCTTCCCTAAAAATAATTAAAAATCTAAGAATTCTTTACTTGCTTTACTAAATTATTAGAATTCAAATTTCTAATATCATTAAATTATATTTTTCCATATCATAGTGTTACATTTTTAATGTCCAATTTATATTAAGAAAAATATGAGTTCCCAATGGAGATTTAATTACGCAAAAGTAGAAGTGAAAATAAACCTCCGGCACCCGCTTCAATTATAAATTCAATTCCATAACTGCGAAGGAACATCCTAATTTATTCACAAAAGATCCAGATTAAGATACGCAGTTTTCAATAACCTTAGAAGCACTGGAATGATTTGAAACGTTAAGCACTCGGAAAGCATTCGTTATTTTAC